TAGCAAAGTGGACTGGGGAGGAGGGAGGAAATTGTGCAACAATGAAATAATTTTTTAAAAGAGAAAAGTGAACTGGAGGAAGGTAGGGTGGAAAAGGTACAACAAAGAATGAATGGAAATTCAAGTTTTCTGTTAACTTTCATTAAAACCTCAACAAATTTTTTTTTTATAAAAAAGCTGGACAATGACTAGGGATGATAGAAAGAGAATTTATGCCTTTGAGCTATGGTGCTGGAGAGGAATAATGAATAGACCATAGACCACAAGGAGAACAGACAGGTTCATCCTGGAGAGGGTGAAAACAGACTGCTGCTTGGAGGCAAGGATTCTGAAGTTCCACCTGACATACTTTGGGCATGTTACAAGAAGGGACCAGTCCTTGGAGAGGAACATCATGCTTGGGAGGGTGGAGAGACAGCCCAAGACAGGAAGACCCTCGATAAGATGGATTTGACTCAGTGACTGGGGTAGTGGGATTGTGCCAGAGACAATTAGGTTCGCTCAAGATAGAGCAGGGTTCAGGGCTGTTGTATATGGCGTTGTTATGAGTCACAAGCAACTCAACAGCACACAACAACAACGACAATATTGAAGAATGAGGATGGGACTGCAATGAACATTCCCAAGTATGATTCCTTGGGCACATGTGCCTAGGAGTGGAACTGAGTCATATGTGAACTGAACTGTGGTGGTGCTAGTACCAGCCCATACTCCACTACCTCCACTTTGACCCCATGTTCCAAACCTCACTGTGTCTCATTTCTTAACAAGCCGAGACATTCTAGCTTCTAGAACATTGTACCTGCTGTCTTCTCTACCTTGGATGCCTTCAGTACTTCCCATGAATTTTTCCCTTATCTCTCTCTCATTCCTGTCGGGTCAGAACCAATGCATGGCTGACCCTCCAGCAGGTTTTCAGAGACTGTAAATCATACAGGAGGAGACTGTTCATATTTCTTCAATGGAGAAGTTGGTGGATTTGAACACCCTGCCTTTGAATTGGCAGTGCAACACCTTAGCTAACCTACTAGCCTATCAGAGCTCCCTGTTCTCTAGAGGAGGATAGTGGATTAGAACTGCCAAATTTTGGGTTAGCAGTCTGATGCATTCTGCACTAGACCACCAGGCCTTCTTAACAATGGTTTAGATTATAGGACAAAGAGAATGAGGATGTGATATCTGAGTCCTCAAAGTCTTCTTTTCCAGAGAAAGATCAGCAGTCTCCTCCTCTAAAGATTTACAGCCTTGCAAAACCCATACAAGATCACTTAAGTGAAAATAAAAGCTACAACGGGGAGTTTAAGGTTTGTGTGTGGGTTATTTCCCATTAGTATCATCAAGTGGATCCAAATCCATGCACATGAGTGTCATCAAGCTTTCCCCAACCTATATATAACAGACAAAACCTTTCCTGGTCTTGTGCCGCCTTTATGATCTATTAGGGATTGGTTGATGGGACTAGTGTCGTCATTGGCTGATTTTTCAGAACTCGCAGGTCTTTCCTCCTGGTTTATTTTAACACAGACGCTCCACTGAAACCTGTTCAGCACTATAACAATACACAAGACTCCGCTGCCAGATGGGTGGGGACTGCACATGAAGTGTGGCTGAGGATCGAAGCCTGATCTCTTGTACAGAAGACAAGAATTCCACCACTGGAGCACCGCTGTACCTAAGTGAAATTAGTTACCCCTATTCCCACTCAGACACTAGGGAGCACTTGTGGCTTAGTGTGCTAAGAAGCTGCACTGCAATCCCAAAGGCGCACAGTTTGAATTCACCAGCTGCTCTGTGGGAGAAAGACAGGCAATCTGCTCCTGTGCAATTAAACTGCCTTTGAAATCCCACTGGAGTGTCACCCATGAGTCGGTTCTGACTCGGTGGTACTCAACAAAACCCACCTGAGTCACCACACTCCCATGTTTCTTAACTTTCATAGCACCCACAGTCACAAGCGGAAATAATCTCTATTTTTTTATTGATTTGTCATTGTATTCCCAACTGAAATCAAGTTCCAGGAGAGCTGGGACCAGGTATACCTTGTTCATATCTCCAGAGCCTAAGAGGAAATGCTCAATATATTTTTTTTTAATTTGAGGTAAATATTAATGTGCCATCAGTCATCTGCAACTCATAGCAACCATACGTACAACAGCTCGGAACTTTGCTCTATCCTGAGCCAGTTTCATTGACTCTGACACACCTACCCCCCGTTACCCCTGTTACTGTGTCAATCCATCACATCTGGGGTCTTTCTCTCCCACGCTGTCCCTCCACTTTTCCAAGAATGATGTCCTTCTCCAAGGACTGGTCCTTCCTGGCCACATCCCCAAAGTATATGAGATGGAACTTCAAAATCGTATCATTCAAGGATTCCAAGTACTAATAATGCACCTGATGCAGGCCATGGTATCAGAGATACATAGACAATGACTAAAGATTACAGGAGAAGAATCAATGCCTTTGAATGGTGGTGCTGGAGAAGAGTATTGAACATACTGTGGACCCCCAGGAGAACAAACAGGTCTGTCTTGGAGAGGGTAAAACCAAGTTTCTCCTTGGAGGCTAGGATTTTGAAGTTCTATCTCACAATCTTTAGGCATGTGGCCAGGAGAGGAAG